CACCACCTTTATCAGCAAAAATACATGTGCAGTCAACTCCCTCTAAGACGGACACCTCTGGGACCGGCAAGAAGTGTCTGTCTTAGAGAGATGTCCATCTTATAGAGAGTCAAATAAAGGAAGTAAAGAAAGGCAGGGACCGACTCTGGGTGTCCGTTTTACAGAGGTGTCCGTCTTATAGAGGTGTCCGTTAAGAGAGAGTCTTCTGTATTAATAAGTGCCATGCGGCAGGTACAGCGCAGTCTTGACTGCAGGGTGGGAGATCATGGGTTGGATTCCTGGGACCAGACCAATACTCAGGGCCTTAAAAAAAATAATGGGAAATGAAGGTACCCCCTGTGCCCTGCAAACAGCTAGACCTTTGCGTGGCTCAGATGAGCAGGTAAAATTTTAGAAGGAGACATAAAAAATAATAGAGTCCTCAATTGGTAGTTTCGTGCTAAATACATTAACTCTCAAATAAAGAACATTGCGTTACTTTATTCTGAGTAAGGGTTGCATTCTTCCAACGACAATGTGACACTGATTAATTTGTCACACTCTTTAATGTTGAATTAATTACTACCATTTTAACTTATTTTAGTCTATGCTTGTCAGGTTTTGTTGCTTTCAGCTACAATGCCCCAAGATGTTTTGGAGGTGACCAAAAGATTTATGCGTGATCCTGTTCAAATCTTAGTCAAAAAAGAAGAATTAACTCTTGAAGGTATCAAGCAATTTTACATCCATGTAGAAAAAGAGGTGGGTGAATTATGTTTCATAGTAGATATATTTTTAAAGTTGAAACCTTCGTAAAAGTGATCACAAAATGCCAAAGCTTTTGTCTGTATTGTAGAGTTGGATTTTGTTGCAAGTTAGGTGCAAAATTCCTGAAAATTTTTGGCTTGGCCCATTCATCCCTGAACTGTTCGTAACTGCCCATGTGGATCCACGTCCCTTCTATCACTTTTGATGTCATCAGTTTTAAGGGTCATGAACAACTTTGTCAGCTAGCTTGTGCAGGGTCAAGAGATCTTTCAAACCACACAAGAACTAGCCTTGCCAAAAGGCGAACTCACTGGGCTGCTTACACTAGACAGGAACAAGAATTGCCGAAAGGCGATTTTTAACTGGGCTGCCAAGGGGCTATTTTTTTCTGAGGGGAAGGGGCGGCTATATATACTCAGGCTACTATAAAACCTTGTCGCCGACCATTGCATGAGAGAGAATCTCATGTGAGACTGAAACATAAACTCATTCAGAACATTGTACCCTTTTGAAAGACGTTCATAACAAAAAAAATGAGTACCATTTTTAAGTGGGGCTGTATAATAACTTTTTAATTGTATCATTATGAATAAAAATAAACGAGTTAGTCATTAATTCTAAGCAGGAAACGATTTGCATTATTTTCAGGCACTCCTCCCCGAATCCCTCTGTCTCCAAAAATATAGCGTGACAGTATAACGTGACTAATTTGACGTAACCGGAAATTCCAAAAATAACTGTCATTCTAGAAGTATAAAATGCGACAGGGTCAGCTACTCGCCACTGGGCTAATTTACACGAGACAGAAATATATTGTATTGGATGAAACCCAGAAGTTTACTAAAACAGACAGCCAACTGCATATTGATCCTGATCTAGGGGCCTCACTGACTGCACTGAGACCTTAAATAGACGATCCTAGTTTGCGGTTACAGTCTACATGAAAACGCACTATTTTTTGGACAAGATGAAAACTATTCAGTTTTAATATTTTCCTTTTGGTAGTTTTCTCTAACTTAAAGGAATAACATCCTTCGTATTTTGTGACCTAAAAAGTTTAAAGATTTCTCGCTCGCATGTTGCTTTCATCAGCACGTACTTTAGACAATGTAGATAGATGAAAAGATTGGTAACATATTTTTTTACCTGATACCGATATGAGTTAAATATTCGCTCGAGTTCGCTGTTTGTCTCACGACACCCATGACTAACTTTTCTTCATGGCAGATAACTATGCCGCTTTATAACTCCTCCAAAGTTTTTTCCCAGCTAAACAATATGGAAACACTATTCACAGTCGTTGGATATTAAAAAGACTGAACGTAACGCACAATGTGCCCTTGTTTACCTCTGATCACATCTCCAAGCGAACTCTCTCTTTCCAAGCGATTCATTTCAATGCACAATAATTGACCCTTATATTAATTAAACCCTATGGTTCATTCATATTAAAACTGTTTTTGCCCCTCACATTTACTGTGTTCGTTCGTATTCAAAACACCTTTAGGAAAATAAAGGTCGTGTAAGTCATGTGTATTATGTTTCAAGATAAATGGATTGTACTCTTTTTTAAGTTCCCATTTTGCGGTGACTTCAGTTTACATCTCCATAAAATGGTGAAAATTTACAAAGGCATGTTTTTTGAAACTTGCTAATGCTGACATCAATGCATCTGATATATCGTGCTTGCTGAATGGGCAAAAACACAGAATTGTGATCACAAGATCATGTACAAATTTAATGATAAAAGCTTAGCAAGATACAGATACAAACAAAAGCAAACCCCCTGAAATCTCGACCTGGGCTACACTTGTATGCTCCACTCAGTCACCAAACCTTGTCAGTAATAGCTCTTATTTTCCTCAAGCCAGTCTTTGTGAAGCTCCCAGGTGGTACGGTCCGGTGAAGCGTTGAACTTGTGGGCGAAATTCTCAGAGTTCCTATTTTTGTCCGTGTCTTCTTTATCCTCAGTATCCAAAATTTAGACCTCCAAAGTGGCGTGTGTTGCATTAAATACAATGAAATATTTAAAGGAAAAGCCAGTCTTCTAACGTGGCAAAGTTGTCAGGATTCATCTGACATTCATCAGCAACTGAGTTGTTCGCTTCACTGAGTACGACAGCTTACAATCAAGTCTTCAGCCGTAGTGTCGTCAACTGGTGAAATACTTTGCTCATAAATTGTGCTTATTAATTGCTCATGTACTACATCGATCGATAATTCTCTCTTTGAGTTCACCAAGCAGCCCCGGTGTTCCAAAGTTAACGTTCACAGTCATCTTTTAGTGTGAACCTACCGTGAACGGCGTGTGAGTTCGTATGTAACGTGGGCATTTCTCTGAGTTTCCCAGCGCCAGCATCATCAACTGACTTAAACTCGAACAATAAAAATATTTTAGAGTGACTCCTGTGATCGAATCGCTTTGAACAATGCAAATAGCCTTCTTCAGGTTTGCAACGTCTTCTGGGTTTCTGGCGGGGGCGGAGACGAGGTACAAAAAGTATTTGTGCAAGGGTCCGTGTAAGGGAAAATCATATGAAACCATTTGTGAGAACATCGTTTCTCAGTACCAGACCCTCGTGTCTTCCCTCCCCCGGGAGGCCGTTTTTGTACACAGACGACAGAAAACTAAATTTATAACTGGGCCGCACAGGCAGCCCAGTAACAATGTATTGTTTGAAAATAATAACTTTACTAATACAAACAGCCAACTGCCCATTGATCCCAATCAACCGGCCTCATTGATTGCACTGAGACTTTAAATAGTTGATCCTAATTTGCAGTCTACAGTCTGATGAAAATGCATAATTTTTTTTCCACAAGATTAAAGTAATCAGTTTATAAGATTTTTCCTCGTTATTTTTCTGCAACTTAAGGGAATTAAATCCTTTGCATTTTGTGACCCAAAAGAGTTTCAAGATTTCTCGCTCACATGTTGATTTCATCAGCACGCACTTTCAACAATGTAAATAGATGAAATGAGCAATAACACATTTTTTACCATAATGCCAATAAATTATGAGTTGAAAATTATCCTGCTTTATAACTCCTCCGAATTTTTGTGCTAGCAACACAATATTGAAACACTATGCACACTCCCTGGGTATTAAAAAGACTAAACAAAATGCACTGTAAACGCACCATGTGCTCGTGAACTTTTTTACTTCTGATCACATGTACATGACTTCTGAAATTGTTTTTGGTTCAAGCTATTCATCCCAATGTACAATAATTGACCCTTATATTAATTAGAACCCTTTGGTTCATTCATATTATACTGTTTTTGCCCCTCACATTTACAGTGTTTGTTCGTATTCAAAACGCTTGTAGGAAAACACAGGTCATGTTATGTTTCGAGATGACTCAATTATAGCCTTTTTTAAGTTCCTATTTTGCCGTGGCTTTAGTTTACATCTCCCTAAAAAGGGGTGAGTGGACAAGGTACAAAACATATTTGTGCAAGGGAAAATCATATGAAACAAGTCATGAGAACATTGTCTCTTGGTCACAGACCTTGTGTCTTCCCTCCCTTGGTGTTTGTTCTTCTGCACAGATGACTGAAAACCGAAATTATGACTGGGCTGCCGATAATGAGCACGATTCAGTCAAGGAGTTGAGAGAAAATGGCAAAAAAAACAACAACAACAAAAAAATGTCACATTGCCCTGAAAAGATGCATGAAAATCTTGTTTCACTACCCACACCCTTTCTTTTCATCTAATCCTTAAAGATCCTCCAAGCGTTCCAAAAACTTTTCCCACCAAAATAAAGCCTGCTAAATGTCCAGCGAAAGAAAACGTAATATGAGGCAATAAAGAGAAAGCAAAAAGTATCCTCAAAATTTTGCTTTCTGCACATGCCCGAACTTCATAAGCTAAGATTTTGCATGTAGATAAATAAGCCACGAAATGTACAACCTGTAAACAGCTTTGTGGTAAGTTCTAGCTCTTTTTAGCCAGACTGTGTTATTCAGATCAAGGAGGCACTTTTCTGGAGAAATTAAACAACCTTGAACCCTTATTAAGACGAATTGAAGAACTTTACTTTTCAAAAGAGGTCAAATAAGATCCTCTTACATCAGAGGCAAATCATGCCAACCATAAATAATAACCACAGATAATTTATATGCTTGTCATGACCCTCTCAGTATGAAGCAGCAAAAATCACATTTGCTCAGTCAAAAGGTTTTGCTCCAGCACATAATCTACTAGTAAGAGAAAAAACAAGCAGCATACCCCCTTTTTGCACTATCAAGTTTTTTACCGGAAACAGCTGTGAAGAAAATTAGTGTCTGGGTTTTCTTTTACTTGCAATAAATTTCCCGTTCAGTTTACCGATGACAAGAGCAATGACAGCTCAATGAGAGAAGGAATCCCATTGGATGTGTTTAATTGATTTGGAAGGCGATATGAACTTCACACTCCAAAATCAGTCGGCTGTGAAGTGTTAAAAGCTTGGGCTTTGTCTGTAGTCCCTCCTTTTTCTCTCTCCTTGCCACATCTCGCCTTTCTCGTGTAAGGTGATTTTCACGCACACTTGTGTTTTGCTCACTCTACTATCCCTGAGGATAAATGGGGACTACTCATAGTCTATCTTCCTGAATGTGCATTGTAGACTTTTACAGTGAGTGCTTAAGAGCTCCAAGTTGGCCATTGAATCAAGTTGAGTGACCTGTAAACTAGCTTTGTAGCTGACTGACCTTTAAACTAGCTTTATAGTTTACTGACCCGTAAACTAGCTTTATAGCCAAGTGTTAGTCACATTAATAAAGTGTGTATGTATGTATGTACTTATTACCTGGTACCTTGCTTACTATTAAGGGGAGTGTGCGTGGCAGTAAGGGACGATGAGACAGGAGGATGGAATGTTTCAAATGGAATGTTTCAAACAGACAATTTGTGTTCTATTATTTTGTTAAAACCCATCTAGTTTCAGGCTTTCATGGCCGTTTTTCAGTACAAGGAACTGAGTACAAGGAAATTTACAAGTCCTGAACTTTTCGTTCCATTTGCCTGAACTGTTTAATGAACTGTTTAACTAAGGAGTCTGCCCATGTAAATGGTAAACAACCAAGATGTCAGTAAATGACATGTATTAATAACTAAAAGGAGAATAAAGAATCATTTTATAAAGTTAGATCCCTTTTTTTAGGACTGGAAACTTGAGACCTTGTGTGATTTGTATGAGACTCTTACAATTACTCAAGCTGTGATTTTCCTGAACACAAGAAGGAAAGTGGACTGGCTCCAGGGGAAAATGATGGAAAAGGACTTCACAGTTTCTTCTATGGTATGTCATATTGATTTTTATAAGGTCATAAAGTACATATTGATCTTTGTGTACTGTTTTTTTTGTTTTTCTATGAACAAGCTTTAAAAGCAGCAACACTAGATATTGGCCCCATTTACACACGCCTAAAAAATCGGCACGGCATGCCAAATTTTTGGCACCGTGCCGAGACTACATCTGGGATGTAGTCTCGGCACCCCTAAAATTTTGAGCACTGGTGCCATATTACGTTTGGGACCGATACGTTTACATGTCGAAAACTGGGAGTGCCGTACCTTAAAGTCGTCAGCACGGTGCCAAAAATTTGGCGTGCCGTGCCGATTTTTTTTAGCGTGTGTAAATGGGGTTATTGATAGCTATCTCTGAAAATATTTGTCCCGGGAATGCATGTAAAGGGCAGGAAGCTACGACCAGCATGCAAAGAAAGTAGTATCCGATAGCCCGGGGCTGATGGATTTTTCTATCATGCTAGTGAATTCTGTTCATAACTGAATAATTCATAAGTGAAGTTTTTAGGGAAATTCAAATTACGGAAGAACTGTATTCAATCCAGCTGGTCATTAATTTTTTGGGTGCTAGTTGAAATGACTTTTGGGCTAGTACATGCTAGCTACAACTTGCCCAAATGACTTTCTTTGCACACTGTACAACATGTAACAGTGTCAGAATAGAGGGACATGGAGCACAGACAAAATTTCAGTGGTGCTACCCTCAAATGAAAAAAATGTTGTCATTGTCTGTGATTGGCTCATCTATTGGTGCTATTGCACTGATAAAGTACAGAACCATTCACACTTTTACCCTTTAAGTCCCAATAGTGACTAACGTCAATTTTCTCCTAATGATATCGATACAATTTCAAGAGATGAGGTTATGAGAATTAATAAAATTATCATCTAAGTGAAAATGCCTTGATCTTTTATCAAATTCTCTCAACTCAGTCATGAAGGAAATGTATGGAGGTCAGTTTGGAGAATTTTTATGTGGATATTGGGGCTTAAAGGGTTAAAAGGTTTTTGATGTCTTTGCACTAAGTTGCCCTTGGGCATTTCGTGGAGTTATTGTGGGCTGCCTATTTTTTTTATGTAGAGAAACAGCATTCAAGGTAGCCTTGATTTCCTTTGCTCTCTTAAGCACAGTCTTTGTTATTGCAGGCTCATCACCGAGCAGTAGCCCGAGTTCAAGCACACACAAACCGCAGCCTCGATACATTATTTCTGAGAAAAGAAATCAATAAATACCTCATGAAAGGGGATATTTTGAGGTTGACCCGTTTTATAGATCAGGGTGTTCGTTACACATCGGAGATTGGAGAATTCTGTGGTTGTTACTCAGAATTCTTGGGCTAATGTGCGATAGCCTATGAATATTTTTTATTCTGACATGGAGCCTCTCTCACAATATTCTCTGATAATGTTACACCTTTCTCCTGCTACTAGAATTCTTAATGAAAACCTTGATAGATGAAAACATTCAAAATGAGGAGGAGAAGGAGTGGAGGCAATGAGGAGGCAAAGCCATTTCTTGACAATCATGAGCCTAAAATAAAAGCAAACTCTAAATCTACAATCTGCATAATCATCATGTTGTAACTGTTTACATTGTTTACTTGCTGCATTTCTAACCAGGATATCATTATTCTACTATGTTTTGTAGCATGGTGATATGGATCAGAAAGAGAGAGAGGTGATCATGAAGGAATTCCGTTCCGGTTCCAGTCGAGTGCTCATCACTACTGATTTGTTGGTAAATGAATGTTTGTTTTTCTTCATCGATGCAGTGCTCTGTAAGAGGAATGTTGCTTTCATCTGCTGTGGGTCTTTATCAGAATCATTAACTTGCTGATTGTCTTCATAAAATACTATACAATAGTTGAAGCATGTCATATTGAATAATTTACACAGATGATCAGCAAGTTTGTGGTTCTGATAAAGCAGCAATACATATAGAATGGATAGTGAACTTACCACATTGGTTCACTGGTATGCCATAAAATTATTAATGTGTGAAGGTAAATCCTGAGAGGTCTTTAAGCTACATGTATGTTTTTGGGTGGGGGAATTGTGAGTCACTGAAACCGTTTCCTGTTGTCGTGTGCTCTAGATTGCAAGGATGGACATGGATTGAAACTTAAAAGCATTTGGCCAATTTTCCCAATTTTTAATGCTTTTCTTCATGCAAAAATCACCCAAAATTATTTTGGTTGGAGCTCCATGGTGAGACTTTTTTATATTTTCTTCATAACTCTAAGTAATGACCTTAGCACAAAATTAACCTAAAACAGCTATATGTTCATGACATGGCCCCTTTGAAAGACTAAATCTAATGTAATGTGGATTCTATTTTTACAGGCACGTGGTATTGATGTACAACAAGTTTCTTTGGTAATAAACTATGATTTGCCTGGGAATCGTGAAAACTACATTCACAGGTTAGGAATGGGCATGGAATCTGTTCTTAACAATATTTGGAGTTTCTTTTGGTGTTTTGGGGTAAAACTATTTTCTTCAAGGCTTGGCAGTGTCTTCATATCATAAATTTCCCAAAGTTCCCTTATACAATTTTTCTTATACTGAAGAACAAACATTACAAAATGAAAATGGGCAAACAGTGATTTTTGAATAAGTTTCTTTCAAGTGGTAGATGCATGACGAATTCTACAGTTTTATGTTTAACAGAAAAACTGAAAAAAAGATTTAAAGAGTTCATATGATTTTGGGGGACGCTGTTACAAAATTACAGACGTTTGTATGGATCTGTAACCGTGTTCCAAGAATCATAACTTGATCCCTGTTCAACTTTAGAGCACCAAACCCTGTCAAATAACCAGTCTCAACATGACCTTTTATATGGTGGTGTCAGTTTATCGATTTGTTTAAATTTGAAACTCGCCCCAGTTCCCTACGCAACTCCGAAATTCTCAATTTATCGCAAATTTTGCTTTTTAGGATTGGTCGTGGTGGCCGTTTTGGCCGTAAAGGTGTTGCTATCAACTTTGTTACCGATGAGGATAAACGTATTTTGCAGGATATTGAAACGTTCTACAACACAGTAATAGAGGAAATGCCAATGAACGTGGCGGATCTTATCTAAATGATGTAGTAGCGGCTACCTTGTTAGCTAACAGAGTAAAAAAATTCTCTGCAAAAACAAACTAAAAATTGCAAAAAGTATCAAGCAAAGAAAAAAAAAAAGGATTGATTCTTGTCACGTTGTGCCGACCAGAGCGGCGCAAAACTTCCAGGATATGTCATAAGATATAAAAACGTATTGGTTTACAGCAAAAAAAAAAATGGAAACAAATTATTTTTGTTTGTGTATTTGTACACAGTGCTTGTAACAAAATACAGCTGCCAGATCTGACAGGTGTTACCAGTTTTAGGTAAAAATAACTTGTACTTAATTATAAGCCCTGGCAGATCTGGCAGATGTTGCTGCTTGTGTCTCCAGGTTCTTTCTGACTTAAACAGCTTACATCATCAGCCTTGTATATTGACCTCGTAAGGTGGCTCTTAATATTTTATTATGTAGTATGGACACGAGAGTAGGTATAGATGATGCTTTCATGCTCCCCCCTGGTCAATAAAACAATATTATTAAACACTGTTTGTGTTTGTGTTGGTGGTTCTAAAACCAGTGCCTAATCCAGACCTTGAGATAAGGGGGATGGGGGGGGGGAGGCGGTCATCCAGACCCTGGGATTAGAGGGGGGCCCCCAGTCTTCGAATTTTTTTTTCGGCCCTTCGGGCCTCACATTGCTCCTAAAGTTAAGGGAGGGGGCACCGGGTGGATCCGCTACTGAAAAGAACACTTTGTGAGCAGAGCTTCCCTTTGTCGTCTCTTTGATCAAGGTCGGAGGAGAAAAGGAGGCTCTATCGGCCTGAATCGCGTCAAGCTTAAAAAGTCGCCGCAGCCCGAATTTCTGGACTAGTCAATCTCGTTTTCTCTCGTCAAACTGGTTTTTAGAGTGCGAGCATCTTTTTATTGATAAACCGATGGTTGCTGACCCCACTGTACTAAGCGCACGGGTATTAGGCCCGGGTTCGAGACTGTATCCAAGCAGCATGCATTGCATGTCCAATTCTTAGGGAGCGTTCACAAAAACTTGTTGGGTGGGGGGGGATAGAGGGTGGGGGCTGATGAGAAATTATCTACTATCTGAAACATTTGGAGAACCCCTACTTGCTGCATTAAACATTTTCAGTAACCCCCTTTCAGTATCTCTAAAATCTGAGTTTGAGACACCCCCAACCAACCTCTCAGTCCTAATTTCTTCCTTGTCCCCGTTAGCCTGCGAAAACAGCCGTTCCTCTAGGGGACCCAGCTTCGAAGAGCGAGGAGAAACGGCTGTTTTCGCAGGCTATGTCCCTGTAAATTCGTATATTGTGGATAATAAAAAACGTTTCCTTACTTTTGCTGGTATCAGTAATACATCCAATCAATCGCTGCTCTTGTTACACAAAAGATCCTGAATTCCCTCGATAAGTTTTATTTGCTCAAATCGAATGACATGAGGTGTTATAGAGGAGATGCTCTATATTTTACTTGACATGATTGAGAAGATTATCAAGAGTTTATATTTATATTTTCTTAAAAGGGTTTTCGGATGGCAAAAAAGTTACAATTCCTGATCAGTCCGCCCCAAACAAGTTTTTGAGTGCTCCCTTACTAATGCAGAGAGTCTCTCCAGAGTGCACTAAAAGAAAGGCTGAACTCTTTTCTTATGCAAACGCTTTCTTTTGTTCCAATAAATTTGCAAAGATGCTGGCCACGTGAGTGAAAACACTATAATGAGAAAAACTGTCATCTATGAATTGTTTCTAAACGAGGGTTTTTGTATGCCTTTGTATAATGACAATATTTGTTCAGTTTGTACTTTCGTTTGCGAGAAGGCTCACTTCGGCGGTTTCGAGAAAAATTGAACCACAAATAATCTTAGCTACATGATTTTTTTGTTGTTGTTCTTCAGAAGAACTTAAACAGACTAAACTTGTGCTAACTACCATGTGTATAAGAACCTGTTTTATTGGCTAACTAGGAGGAATCCAGGTTCTTTTAGTCGTGACGTTTTACTGTATTTATATATAGCTTGCCAGTATTGTAACCCGGGCGGGGGGGGGTTCTTCCATACATTACCTATACGGGTATGTGCCGCCCAACGGGGTCGTCATTTTGAAGCTCCTGATTTAGAACGGGGTATCCGTTTCAGAGGCGTTTTCTAGAACGGGGTGTAATATTTTGAACGCACGAAAGCTCCAGCTTTGTAACCAGTCATTTGAAATTATTCAAGGACATATTGCTTTTAAAAGTACGGTTCAATGCGTTAGCAAGAAAACTGTTGTACTCTTGTTGCACCCTGTGTTTTGGCGTGCTGCGCGGGCGTATTTTTGATGTGGTGCAATAGACACAAGTAGCCCGGGGGGGTACTCCCTAATATGGGCTATATAGGTATGTGCGGCCCCAAAGGGTAGGGTTTTCCAGCCGTTTTGGTCATAAATTGGGTATCGATTTTGGCTATTTTGCCGCCATTTTGGTCATAAATAGGGTAACGATTTTTGCACTGTAGTCTTGAATGCACTTTTTTAGAAGAAGCTACTTCCTTATCATGTCCCCTCCTCCCATCCGCGCTTTGCCTTCCTCTCCACCGGCTGCTTTGTTGGTCATAAATAGGGTAGGGAAAATCGCAGATTCTGGTCATAAATAGGGTAAGGATTTTGGGAAGCGGGCCGCACACCCCTACCCAATTTTTCTGCGAGTACCCCCCCCCCCCGGGACAAGTAGTGACTAAAGTTGAGGATTTCTCTGTTTAAATATACTCCTTGCCCTTCAACAAAAACACAAATAAGGCCACATTTTAAGCTAGCATGTCGTCGCTGTTGCCGTCGTCCTCGCGGTTTCTCTGCCCTCGCCCGCCTTTATCACTTAGCGCGCGCAACCAAAACCGCCATGCTACGCAGGCTACAGAAAACATAAAAAATCTCCCACTCGAGCTTCGCTCTCGAGACAAATTGTGGGCAAGTCGAGGTTACCCTAGCCTCCCAGAACTCCGTCACGCGTTCCTTCCCCACAAACGCTGGGAGGATTACGAGACGATTGCCGCTTGATTGTCCCAATCGCCCCTTGCCGGTCCCTTGCTAAGTCCCCTGCCCTTTGCCTCCCTCCCCACCCCCTCACCAGTCTTCGCGCTTCCAGAAGGTCATTTGATACGCGTTTGAAACGCGGGCGCGAAAATTCGCGACTTCACCTCGATCTCTCTCCCTCCACGTTGAGCATAAGCTTACTTTCGCCGTAGCTTAGCTTCTATATACCTTTTAATCCTGGTCACAAATGTCTAATTTTCTAGATATTCCGGATTCGGATGATGAGTTGGACCATGAAGTCTGTTTTGGGGGTTATAGAGGTGATATTGTGGGCATACGCTACTATCGCGGGACTGTGAACAACTACGAAATGGTGTCGCTCACACGTGAACCTCACAATCCGTACGATAGAAATGCTGTTAGGGTGGATAATGTTTATGGAATTCAAGTGGGGCACATAAAGAGGGAGCTTGCTCGAGCACTAGCGGATGTAATGGATAACAGACTGGTGCGATTAGAAGGGTAGGTTTTGGCAAAGTTACCTTTACTTATATGTAATAGCGTCGACGGTGTGTCGCTGGTTTCTTCAAAATTTGTCACATTTTTTAACATGTTATTTTATGTTAACTGTTGTTTAACCGCTTGTGGAATTTACGCCTTTATGCATTAATATTGATTTACGTATCTGCGCATTTTGAAATACGAGCGAGTAGGAAGAGAGAAATAAAGAATTGCATTGCAAAACTAGATGCAAGGCGTACAGAACTGAATATGATGTAATGTGAGAATTTCTCTGGCCAGTTCCCAGGGGTATTTAAAGAAGTTTGGTTTTGTATTGCCACTTGAACAAATTCCCCAGAATACCAGTAGCTACAACCCCATACATTAATTGTACATGCATTCATTGTTTAATGAAAACAAAAGACAGAACAATACTAAGCCTTTGGGATTTCAGCTATTGTTTGAGAAATTTTAAATTTTTTTTTGTAAGTCTTTCTTGAAACGTGCTAAATTTGGCGCTTTTTGCACTAAAATAAGAACTTTTTGGAACAAATTTCGGCCCAGTTGTTTGAAGGATGGCTAATATCCACTGGAAAAGTCTCTGTCCAGTGGAAAACACCGTTGGCGTTGGTTTCCCGAGTACTTGTCTGGTAGCAGGCGCGGATCTAGACTAAATACTGACCGTTTTCCAAAACGAGCGTCGAAGGCGTAAGCTTCTAGGGGGGTCCGAGGCATGCACCCCGTGATTTTTTTTTTTTACTCCCTAAAGTCGCTTCTCCTGGGTTTCTGAGTCATTCAGTCAGGATATTGGCCGGATTTTAACTTGGAAAGTTTTTTTTTCATGAAAATTTATTTATCTATGAAAATGCTGACCGAATTTCGTAAAACGGTGGAAACCAGTGTGGATCCGCGCCTGGGTAGATAGAGATTTATGTGGCCCATGTTGTTCAAGCTTTGGACAGTGCTATCCACTGGATATTGTAACTGCGAAAGCAGGGATATTTCCATTGTCGCTTTTCTCCGCCAACTCTTTTCTCATTATGTGAAACAAAAGCAACAATAGGGACAAAAAGGCATCAAAGGCATCTGAAATGGTCAGCGGTCAGCAGGAAAGATGGCAGTAATTTTTCAGCTCCATTAATTTACAGTGAATTTAGCTTATTGAAGCTGCCTACATTTGTGCTTTAGTATTTGCTGACCTGTAATTTATGTCTATTTAATGCTGAAGTCAACTGGCTGCCTGGCTCCGCTAAAAAAGATAAAGGCGCATAAGAGCCAAAGGCCCAAACAGCCTGAGCTTATCCCAGTTTCCTTAGTATGAAGCATGCTTAGGAGCATTGCCCTTTTCCCCCGGTTGGGATGCTAGTCCATCGCAGGGTTACCCAAGGCTGTGCTCTAAGGGAAAATAAAGGGAGCCCAGTGCTCTGAACCTGTAAAATCTAGGTTGCCAGCATATGATTTGTATGAAAAAACTAAGATTTTCTAGTCACCTAAGAGCACAAGTTGGGCCCC